CAATTCCGGGGGCTCGTGGCCAGTTCCCTCTTTGTCGCCTGCTGTCTGGATAGAACCATTTTATGATGCCGATTGGGGAAAGAAAGCGCAGATGGAAGAAAACCTGTTAGATCTGAAGTCACTCGGCCCCCTCGGCTAAGGCAGGGCCCTGCTCTCGGGTGCCCCATCCTGGCTGGCTTCCCACCTTTGCAGCCGCGGGTCTCCCATCGCACAACCATGGGGTTTAACAACGCGGCTCCCCGGGCTCAGACACAGCCCTCAGCAGCCAGGGACCTCATGGGCTTCACAAAGGAGAGCGGCTCCGAGCACCGGGGCGGGGGGAAAGGGAGCGCACAGAAATGGAGCCGTGTTTTGTGCAGAAACCGGACGGGAATCGGCCCTGGGGCTCCAGTATCCCAGTGCTGGGCTGCCACCGCTGGGTTTTGAGCCGGGCGGATCTGTCTAATCCCACCGGATCACTGGAGAGCGACTAAGCTACTTTGTAGGTTACGTTTTTGATCAATTTGCTGCAGATTTCTGCCACGGGGGCATCAGCCTCGGCTAAGGCAGCAGCCTCCATCGTGCCTGGGAGACTGGGCTTTGTCCATCGACGATACTGCACCGGGGCTCCCCCCGGGAAGACATCTGGCGCCCCAGCTGAGCTGTCATGTATTTAAGGCAAGAAGTAGCACATGCCTGCCATGTTATTAATGTAGATTACAAAATAATTCCGGCATTAGCATCCTATTTAAACGGGGGCCCTGCAAGAAGCAACGGGCCAGCGGAGATGCCAGAAACAGCCTCTTTGGCCAGCTCAGCCACAGGGCTGCAAAGGGCCTGGATGCATCTTCTGTTTCACTAGCTTAATGGTGGCCTCCTGACCTTTTTTAGTCCACAAAAGTCCCACCAGAGTTCTCATAAGGGAAGGGAGTTCCTCTTCTGGTTTCCTTCAGCGAGTCAGCTCTGTGAGCCTCCAAATACAAACACAAACGCGAGCCCCGCGGGCCCCGCTGGACGTGGGGTTGCCCTTCTCCTCCTCGTCCTTGCCCAGCTTTTGCAGCGCTCTTGTCCATTGTTCGGCAGCTGCCGCGTTCCCCCGGAGGTGTCTGCCTGCCCGTTCCCTGCCAGCCGTTTTTATCTGCCATCTGGGGTGTTGCAGAGCTTACCTAACTGTTAGGAAAGCTCTGGGTTGAAAAACATGAAATGCGGGTGACGGGGTGATTGCAGTCATTATTAAGCACACTTACGGTACATTTTGAGCTCTCTGGGTGCCCATAACCCTCCACATGGTCAACACGCGTGTTTGGGGAGCTGGCGCAGCAGCACGGAGCGTCTTTCCGCTTTTCCTCTTCGCTCCACCAACCTCCCCGGCCCTTGCAGGGCAGCGATTCCTGCACATCTGGGCTGCACATCTGGGACCCTCCTTGGGAAGATGGAGTCTGTGGCTGGCAGGGCTTTTTAGGGAGCTTTGCTCAAGGAGCAGGTCAGCCTGCAGAGGAAAGAGCAATTCCAGATGTGCTGCTTTACAGGTCATATCTCAGAGGAGAAGGTCAGCCAGCTTCACACTTACAGGTTGTGTTTGTGGAAAGCGGAAGACGAGACACCATTATGGGTCCACTAGTTTGGGAACAATAAAAGGAGAGTCTCTAGAATAGGTTGGGGGAAGGAAACCAAAGACATAGGGCTGGGAAGCATGAAAAATGCAGCATGGTTTTATCACAGATCATGTCAGGTTGGTTGAAGGAAGAGGAAACAAAATGGGAAGAGGACATGGGGGAGAAGTGGGGACCGATCTCATGAGCAGTCCCATTAGCTCCGGGCTGAGATACGGTCCGGGGATCTGCCAGCAGTGAGAAAAACCAGAGCAGCCAACGGGAGCATCGTGAGACGCAGCCCTCGAAGCGGATGGGGTAGAGTTACGCCAAAGCAGGCGTACAGGGAGCTGTGGTGAGAAGCTCCTGTAGCCTGGGGAGAACTCAGCAAGTGGAGGGCACTGAGAAGGAAAGAGCATCTGGGATTGCTGCAGGAGGTGGCAGGACCGGCCTGAGAGCAGATACTTTCCGGTAGGAAATTAGAAAGGGAGATACCAAGGTGAGACAGGCGATGTTTACGGAAGAGACTGTGGAGAAATCAAAAAGGGGAAGGAAGGAGCAGTGGTGGCTGTGTGCTGCCTGTGCTCGCTTGCACCAGCTTTAGGTTGCATTTCATTAGCACTGTCCTGCAGAGCTTCCAGGTCGTTCTCCCAGGGAAGCAGTTATTCCTAATGTCCAACCTGGACCTCCCAAGCTGCCCTTTTTGGCCGCTGCTGCTCGCTCTGTCATATGGCAACGCTCCTGGGAACGGTTCATCTCCGTTGTCTTTGCGACTGCTCTTCAGGAAGGCGACGGTTCCTCTTCACCAAGCGCCCCCTTCACCAGACCAGCGCGACTCGGCTCCTTCTGCTGCTGCTCCTCAGTGCTGCTCCGCGTCCTCCCTCCCCTGGGCATTAGCTAACTCATCTCCTTCACACTGGCCAAGCAGGGCTTTTCCCAGGTCACCACCAGCGACAGCCACAGCTCAACACTTTGCACAGCCAGTTGGTGGCACAGGCAGAACTGCAGTGACTGCAACCCTTCCTCTTCATCAGCTGCCTCATACTGCCACCTTCCCCGTCCTGTCTTCTTCCGGGGCAGCATCAAAACTCCTTTTTCTAGGCTGTGCTGCCCAACAGGCCCTTTCTTTGTGTGCCTGGCTCATGTTGTGCAGAGCCCAGGCTCCCCAGGAGAGGAGAGGTCCATCGAGGGCTGTGTGTGGGGCACCGGTTCCTCTCTGGACTGGGCTGTGTGGGCTGTGCCCCGGCGCCCCGTCGTGCTCTGGTGCTGGCTGGAGCTCACTCCATACCCACCAATGCCGGGCACTGCCCACAGCCTTCTGGAAAACGGGCTCTGCTCACCCTCTGCGCAGGTTTCCTGTTGCATTTCCTGCTGCACCAGAGCTCCCGGTAAGATGCTCCAACCATCCCCGCAGCGCCCGTTGGCCCCGTCCGCAGGGAAGAGCCTCCGGGGG